AATGAAACAATGTCGGGTTCTCGCTCAAGCAAGCCCATTCTCGCTCAAGCGAGAAAATCCCGCTCATTTTAAAAACTCAGATCTGACCCTCTCACTCAAGCGAGGATCTTACAGCCTCTACAGCTTCAGAGTGCCACTTCTCGCCCAGGTGAGACAACTCTCGCTCAGGCGAGCCAACTCTCGCTCAAGCGAGACAATTCTCGCTCAGGCAAGAATCCTTCAGTATAGCCCAGTATTCCACTCACCTAGGTGAGTCACACTCGCCCAGGCAACTCCTTTCTCACTCAAGAGAGACATTCAGGACTGATACTATTATTTATAACCTTAAATTCAGGGTGTCACAATCCTCCCCCTCTTATAAGAATTTTCGTCCCCGAAAATTAAACATACATCGATTCAAACAAATGAGGGTAATCCTCCCTTATATCATGCTCCACTTCCCATGTAGCGTCTTCTTCATCTACTGGACTCCATAGTACCATCACCAAGGCAATCTCTTTGCCCCTCAACCTTTTGATACTGGTATCCAAAATCCTCACTGGCAAGGTAGCAAAAGTCAAGTTATCTTTTAATTCAATTTGGTCCGACTCAACCACATGAGAAGAGTCCCCCACATATTTCCGCAATTGAGACACATGAAACACATTATGAAGATTCGACAACAATGGAGGCAAAGCAATCCGATATGCTATCGGCCCAATCTTCTTCAATATCTGATATGGTCCAATAAATCTCAGAGTAAGCTTAAGGGACTTCAACACTCTACCAATCCCAGTAGTCAGAACTACTCTCATGAATACATGATCTCCATCCTTAAACTCAAGAGGTTTCAGCCTCTTGTCGTATTAGCTTTTCTGTCGACTTTGTGCTATTCTCATATTATCCCGGATTTTCTTACCCTTTTTCGTTGTTTCTCGGACCAACTCAGGTCCCAATACCAAGTTCTCCCCAGTTTCAAACCAACTCACTGGAGTTCGACACTTCCTACCATACAATGTTTCATAAGGTGCCATCCCAATACTTGTATGGAAACTATTATTGTAGGTGAACTTGATCAAAGGCAACATGCTATCCCAACTTCTCGGTTGTTCCAAAACACAAGCCCTCAAAAGATCCTCCAATGACTGTATGGTCCTTTCCGATTGACCATCCATTTGTGGATGATAAGCTGAACTCAATTTCAGCTTAGTCCCCAACGCGGACTGCAAACTAGTCCAAAAGTTTGAAGTGAAATGGGGATCCCTATCCGAAACAATGCTCGACGGTATCCCATGCAACCAAACAATCTCTTTGATATACAATTCTGCCAATCGCTCCAAAGAATATCTCATGTTCATGGGTAAAAAGTGTGAAGAGTAGTCAACCGATCCACTATCACCCATATCGAATCATACCATTTCTGAGTCTTTGGAAAACCCGATACAAAATCCATGGAGATACTATCCCACTTCCACACCGGTATTTCCAGAGACTGAAGTTCTCCTGCCGGTCTCTGATGTTCAATTTTCGCCTTCTGAAAGATCAGACAACTCGAAACATATAAGGCTACATCTTTCTTTAAACCAGACCACCAAAACAACTTCTTTAGATCTTGGTACATCTTTGTAGTTCCCGGGTGAAAACTCATTCTACTCTTGTGTGACTCCTCCAAAATACTCTTTCGCAATTCCGCATCCTGAGGCACACACACCCTTCCCTTATATCGTAACAATCCATTAGAATCCGACTCAAAATCAGTCTCCTTCCCGCTAGCCATCAAATCACGTTTTACCTTCAACTCCAAATCCTCAACTTGCATTATTCGGATCCGGTCAAACAATTCATTGGTGACTTTAAGCATACCCAAAATCATGTTATGGGGTCTCACTTGAACTGCCAAGTTCATATTCCTGAACTCCTCAATTAGTTTCTCTTCCTGAACCATTAAAGCCGACATATGTAAGGACTTCCGACTTAAAGCATTGACTACCACATTGGCTTTTCCCGGATGGTACTGCAATCCAAAATCATAGTCCTTAAGGAACTCCATCCACCTTCCTTGTCTCATGTTCAGTTCCTTTTGATCAAACAAATATTTCAAACTCTTGTGGTCGCTGTACACATCAAATCTTACACCATAAAGATGGTGTCTCCAGATTTTCAAGGCAAACACCACTGCAGCTAATTCTAGATCATGGGTAGGGTAGTTTTGCTCATGCATTCTCAGCTGTCGCGAAGCATAAGCTACAACTTTTCCGTCTTGCATCAACACACAACCCAAACCTTGCTTAGAAGCATCATAATACACACTGAAATCACGATCAGTACAAGGAAGAACCAACACTTGTGTCGTAATCAACCTTCGCTTCAACTCTTGAAAACTTTCTTCACAACGGATTGTCCAAACATACAGTTCTCCTTTTCTGGTAAGTTTAGTTAGGAGTAATGCCAACTTGGAAAACCCCTCTATGAACTTCCTGTAATAACCAGCCAGACCTAGAAAACTCCTGATCTCAGTCACTGACTTGGGTACCGCCCATTCCATCACTGCCTCGACCTTAGAAGGCCACTCCATCCCGGGATATTACATTTCCAAGGAAGTTCACTGATTCCAACCAGAAATCACATTTAGACAATTTCGCATACAACGGATTCTTACTCAGAAGATCTAGAACAATTCTCAAGTGCTCCATATGTTCCTCTCGACTCTTGGAGTAAACCAGAATGTCATCAATAAATACCACTACGAATGAATCCAAATACGGATGAAAAATCTGATTCATGTAGTCGGTAAATATTGTTGGGAAATTCGTTACACCAAAGGGCATCACCAAATACTCAAAATGCCCATACCTCATCCTAAAAGCAGTTTTAGGAATATCCTCCGACTTCACTCGAAGTTGGTGGTAACCTGACTGAAGGTCAATCTTTGAAAATACCATCGCTCTTATCAATTGATCCATCAAGTCATCAATCATAGGCAATGGATACTTGTTCTTGATGGTGACCTTGTTCAACTGTCTATAATCGGTGCACAACCTCTTACTCTCATCTTTCTTCTTAACCAACAAAATAGGTGCACCTCACGACGAGACACTAGGACGAATAAATTTCTTTGCCAACAAGTCCTGAACCTGCTTTTTCAACTCAGCCAGCTCTAACGGTGTCATCCTATAAGGAGCTATAGAGATGGGTCCTGTCCCTGACACTAAGTCAATGGAGAATTCAACATCTCTGACTAGAGGCAACTCTAGAATATCACTAGGAAACACCTCAGGAAACTCACGAACTATCGGAATATCCTCAACTCTGGGTTTCTCAATACCCTCCAGGGATGCCAACAAAACAAACACGGCTCCTCCCTCCTTAAAGGATGTCCTGACTCCCTTAGCCAACAACGGCATCATATAAAACGTCTCATCAAAAATCTCACCCAGATCTCCAAATACAATTGTCTTATCAGCACAATTAAGCATCACATGATTTGCTGATAGTCAGTCCATCCCCAGAATTAGATCTAACTGAGACAGTGGTAAGCATATTAAATCCACGGTAAGTGTCCTACCGTTTACCACAACCGGACATCGAGACACAAAATTCGACACCACCACAGGCACACTAGTTGGGGTGGATACGACCAAGTTGTAAGACAACGACTCTGTGTGCAATTTCAGGCGATTCACACATTCAATGGATACAAATGACTGTGTCGCTCCCGAATCAAACAACACTAAAAGAGGAATACCTGCCACCATGCATTCACCTTTGATCAGACCATCCACATCTGATGCCTCTGCACCACTCATGGTAAACACTCGGCCGATGGATCTAGGTCGTTCAACCCTCACGACATTCACACTCTGTCGTAACTTAGGACAATACCTCCTGATATGCCCAGCCTCCTTGCAGTGAAAGCAGCTAAGTGTTGTTTCGGGCATAAGTCACCAACATGAGTTCGGCCACATTTGTCGCACAAGGATGGAGAGTTTAACTGTGACCCTCCGGAATTGACATGAGTCCTCGGCCCATGCGAAGTATATCCCCGACTACCAGTGGGTGAGGAGTATGGCTTTCGTTCCTCCTAAAACGCCTTGCCCTTTCCATGCGAAAAATTCCGTTGAGGCCCAAAGTTCTTGGGAGGAATTACTTTAGGGGTTGCCGCCTCATCGGCTGCCAGGTCATCCTCATACATCCTGCACTTGTTTACTAAGGTAGCAAAATCGGCAGTCTCTTGATGCCCAAACATACTTTTCAACTTGGGCTTCAAACCCGATTCAAACTTAGAACATTTGGACCTTCCATCCACCTCCAATTCAGCATATGGAAAAAATCGGGCCAATTCCTCGAACTTGGCCGCATATTCTCCCACTGACACATTACCCTACTCCAACCTCAAAAACTCCATTTCTTTCTTCCTCTTCAGATCAGCAGGAAAATACTTCTGAAGAAATTTCTCCTTCCATCTGTCGCCGAGTAAATTCCGACCAAGTTTCAGCTTCTCTTACCAGCATATAAGAAGCATAGGTCACCTTCTGAACATCATTACAACCCATGGCTCGGAATATTCGTTCCAAGTCTTGAATCCACTCGTTCGAAGCATCAGGAGCGAACCCACCTTGGAACTGGCTAGGATTCTGCTTACATAACTCATTCACTTGTTGCAGTGCAGCCACCATCTGAGCCAACAGATCATTCGGAACGTTCTGACTCGTTCCTCTCCCTCTTCCAGCCATTTCTTAACCTGCACTAATTGGTGGTTAGCACACAAGTCTAACTCATATAATTCAGGTTATCACATAGTCTCATAGCACATTACATGTCACTACACCAAGGCTACAAGATTTAAACAGTCAATTCACAAAATTTTCAACTAGTTAAATCATAAACATGTTACAAAGAAGCAAGTAAGGCCATACCCTATGCCGCAGAATTAACTATGCTCTGATACCATATTGTAAGGACCCAAATTCCACACTTGAAATTTTTTCCTTTTATTTAATCCTTTATGCTTAATTTCCCATGTTACATCATACATACATTTCCTTCAACCTTTTAAGTCACCCATTTCATTAATTATCTAATAACTCTAACCATACAATTTCGGTTTCATACCATGCTACCTTTAATTGCAGAAAAGCATAATTCATATTACTATCACCCGATAACTACCGCATACAACTAGCTATGGGTTTCCAAAATACCTATAGCTACAAATATCCGAAGTTACAAACATCCAGAATTACAATTATCCAAATAGCATTTAATTAGTCATAATACAAAATGGCAACATAAGGAAATCCAGGTTTTAAGCTCCTAAAGCATCAAACCAAGCATCATCAACTATCCTGTTTACCTGCAATGGGATTATCAACGGCAAATACACACAACATACAAAGGCGTAAGTCATTAATTCAATAAATATCATTATAAGATAATCCACATTTTAAAGGGGTTAATAAACCATTTTTAAATTCATTTTCGCTACATAACTTTAACCAAAGTTTGCTACATCGCTTGAGCTAAAGCTTGCTACATCGCTTGAGCCAAAGCTTGCTACATCGCTTGAGCCAAAGCTTGCTACATAACTTGAGCCAAAGTCGCTAACCCATCATGGTCTGCTAAAAATGTGTTTTCTTTTCATTGATACACCATCAATTCATAAACAGCAATTCCACGAATTTTCTCAATTTGACATGCTAGTTAAAGACTTATCCTTACCTTGGTGAGTGTTGGGTTTGGTAGTATGTAACTTTGCAAGTTCCACCGACAACTCCTCCAACCTTAGGATCTTTCCTCATTCCCACCATATAACAACAATGTTAGTCATTTATTCAAAATAACACAAACAACTCATATTGCATCTTTAACCAAACAAGAGATTCACACATTTTCAATGTTTCCAACCTACTTTCATAAAGAGTTTCCAAACATCTAAAACATACATATTTTTCTCATATTTCAACATTAGAGCACATACTCATCTTCAACATCTAACATTTTACCCATTTCCCTCTTTGACCACATTTTCATTTTAAGGTTAAACTCTCTCCATCCTTTGAATACCAACTCTAAACCAAGAGTTTACAAGAGAGGAACTAAATAAAACGAACCACAACTCAAAAGGAAGAGTTTCCATGGTTTCTCACATTTTGAGAAGAGATCCAACATACCCAAAACAAGTTTCAAAGGGAGAAGGAGAGCTAAAAATCAAGAGATTTACCTCTTCTCAAGCTTCTAGATGATTCTCAAGACTCCTTGCTCTTGAAAATGCTATCTTCTCTCACTTCTCTCCAAGTTCTAACCCTAAAATGTGTTTGGGGTTCCTTATTTAATGCAACAGCGTCGGGTTCTCGCTCAAGCGAGTCCATTCTCGCTCAAGCGAGAAAATCCCGCTTATTTTAAAAACTCAGATCTGACCCTCTCGCTCAAGCGAGAATCCTCTCGCTCAAGCGGGGATCTTACAGCCTCTTCAGCTTCAGAGTGCCACTTCTCGCCCAGGTGTAACACCCCGAATTTTAGTCTTTAAAAATTAGAGTATCAGTCCTGGAAGCCTCGCTTGATCCAGAGATTCTCGCTTGAGCGAGAGAGGTGCATCTGGGAGGGTGAAATCTTGGGCTATACTGGAGGATTCTCGCCTGAGCGAGAGTTGTATCACCCGGGCGAGAAATGGCAATTTTGGGCAGTGTAATCGATTACACAATACATGTAAACGATTACATGCAGATAAAAGCATCAGATATGTGCATTTTACACTATGTAATCGATTACACAATCCATGTAATCGATTACATCTATGCGTTAAGCGAAAATTGCTACTGTGAGATTCTTGTTTGAGCGAGAATGGGCTAGCTTGAGCGAGAAAGGGCTCGCTTGAGCGAGAATGGGCTCGCTTGAGCGAGAACCCGACGACTGCTCTTTAAAAATAGAAACCCCAAACACATTTTAGGGTTAGAACTTGAAGAGAAGAGAGAGAAGTGAGCTTTTCAAGAGCAAGGAGCCTTAGGACTCATCTTAGAGCTTGCGAAGAGGTAAACCTCTTGTTTCTAACTCTTCTTCTTCCTCTCTAACTTGCTTTGGGTTTGTTAGATCTATTTTCAAAATATGAGAAACCATGGAAACTCATCCGTTAGAGTTATGGTTCGTTTTAGGTTGTTTTTCTCTTGTAAACTCTTGGTTTAGAGTTGGTATTTGATGAATGGAAAGGTTTTGTGGGTTGTTTATGAAAACCCCAAAATGAGAATATGAGTAAAGAGAGAAATAGATGAATATGTATGTTTTAGATGTTTGGAAACTCGTATTGAAGTAGTTTTGGAAACCTTGAAAATATGTAAATATCTTGTATGTTTGATGAGGAAATACGAGTTATTTATGTGGTATTTTGAATAAATGATTGACATTGTTGTTATTGGTGGAAATGATGAAAGATCCTAAGGTTGGAGGAAATCGCGGAGGAGACTTTTAAAGTTACTCGGAACCGATCCCCAACACTCACCAAGGTAAGGGATAAGTATCTCTAAATCATACTTGCTGATATGAATGAGGTATGTGAAAGAGGTAATGGTTTAAAATTATACGTTTGTAATTTATGCATTATGTCGGAAAATGCGTGGCTTTTCTGTTATGGTAATAAAAGTAACATTATTGGGGGAGAACCAATGGAAATAAGACTCAAAATGATTTCAACCTAATTTGGGGGAGTCCCAATGGAAATAAGACTCAAAATGATTTCAATCTAATTTGGGGGAGTCCCAATGGAAATAAGACTCAAAATGATTTCAATCTAATTTGGGGGAGTCCCAATGGAAATAAGACTCAAAATGATTTCAATCTAATTTGGGGGAGTCCTAATGGAAATAAGACTCAAAATGATTTCAATCTATTTGGGGGAGTACCAAAGGAAATAAGACTCGAAACGAATTCAATTTATTTGGGGGAGTACCAAAGGAAATAAGACTCGAAACGGATTCAATTTATTTGGGGGAGTACCAAAGGAAATAAGACTCGAAACGAATTCAATCTATTTGGGGGAGTACCAAAGGAAATAAGACTCGAAACGAATTCAATCTATTTGGGGGAGTACCAAAGGAAATAAGACTCGAAACGAATTCGATCTATTTGGGGGAGTACCAAAGGAAATAAGACTCGAAACGAATTCAATCTATTTGGGGGAGTACCAAAGGAAATAAGACTCAAATGAAAGTAACATTGTTGGGGGAGGCCCAATGAAAAGATGACTCGGAATAATAAAAGTCATATGCATGTTATAGGATATATAGTATGGGATATATATTCTATAAGGTGAATATGAAGGATGAGAACTGAATGTCAAAATGAAAGTCATATGCATGCTATAGGATATATAGTATGGGATATATATTCTATATGATGAATATGAATGATGAGAAACGTGAATGTCACATGAAAGTCATATGCATGCTATAGGGTATATAGTATGGGATATATATTCTATAGTGTGAATAGGAATGACGAGAAATGTGAATGTCACATGAATGCTGTATGCATATTATAGGATATATAGTGTGAGATATATATTCTATAGGGTGAATATGAGCGATAAAAAGGAAGATGTTGAGAAAGAAAGTAATATACATGCTATATGATATATATTATGAGATATATATATTATAGGGTGGATATGAAGAACGAGACCGATGATGTTTCGAACGAACGTAATATGCATACTATAGAATATATATTATGAGATATATATACTATAGGATGAATATGAGTAAAGTGGAAATTAAAGGAAGATGATTTCAATGTTTATAATTTCGTATGTGTGTTTATGAATTACATCAAAGCTTGATTGTATTTGAATGTGGATTATCATGTGATGTTAGTTTGAACTAATGACTTACTCCCTTTTGTTTTGCGTGTTGTTTATGATAATCCCATTGTAGGTAAATGAATGATTTTGAGGATGAAGCTCAAATAGGAAGTCTTTGTGTCTATTTACTTGAGTGTCTTTATTGCTATTTGACGTTGTAGTTGATTCGATAGCATTTTGGGATAAATGTAATAGGATTAGGATAATATGGTGACATGTAGTTATGGACGTTATAACCTTGGAAAACCCGTAACTGGATGTATGTGGTAAATGTTATCTAAATGAATTATGTTTTTCCGCAACATAAATTTGTATGATAATATAATAGGTTATAAGATTAGTTCCAGGAATGATTCATGAGAAGTTCTAGGTAAAATGATTATGTATGTGGTTATTGATTCATGGATTGAGTGTAAGGAGGGGAAATAAGATTTTGAAGTAAGGATATTAAAATGGTAATGTGAGTTATGAGTGATTGAATGGAATTGAATTAAAATGAGAAAAAATTTCAAGGGTAGAAAATCGGGTCGTTACACCAGGCGAGACAACTCTCGCTCAGGTGAGCCAACTCTCGCTCAAGCGAGACAATTCTCGCTCAGGCGAGAATCCTTCAGTATAGCCCAGTATTCCACTCACCCATGTGAGCCACTCTCGCCCAGGCGACTCCTTTCTCGCTCAAGCGAGACTTCCAGGACTGATACTATAATTTATAACCTTAAATTCAGGGTGTCACAACCCACAAGTCCAAAAACACGTACTCAAACCTAACTCATTGTAAGTATTATTTGCTAATACCTGCAAGTCCTGATAGCCATTGTCATCCCTAAATGTGAGTAGGGCTTCAACAAATTTAATTTTAATAACCTTTTTTCTGCAGCTGCAACAATAACATGAATACTTGAATAGTCAATAGAATTAGATTTACAATTATTGTAATAGGCAAACAATGTATACATTGTAAAAACTTCAAAATATTAAACACACCGGAGGAATTTGTTTCCATCAATATCTAATTGACAATTGATCCTAAGTACACCTTTAAAATGACTACAATAAGACTTTAAACTCAAATTATCTAACAAAATTATTTTTTTTAAAGTTCACAAGAATGTAAAAATAAGTTTCTTCAAACCTCCTAGTGAGTTACTCAATTGTTTAATTAACAATATATAAAAAAATATTCTTGATCGATTACTAAGCATAATTTGAAGATACATGCTCTGGTGTAACAAATGCATCATATGACATGAAGATATATACTAAATGGGGTAAATTTTGAATGGATAGTTATAAATGAATTGGTAAGTATTGGGAATAAGCGAACAATCAAATAGTAAAATAGAATAGAGATAAGCAAAAATAACACAAAGAATTTGGTAACTAGGTTCGGTCAATTGTGCCTATATCTTCGGTAGCGATGAGATGCTATCACTATGTATTAGAGAATTAGAATTGATGTTTAGCTATTTTTCTCTTTTACATCAGCTCAATCTCATAACTTGTATTGTTGTTATCTAGAGAATATGAACTATTGCGCAACAATCTCCACATTATCAAATATCATCAATCTCCATCTTCCGCCATTTGGTTGTGGGTGCTCCATAGTCCAACATTAGTGAATGTTCAACAAGCTCATGCAATGTCTGAACTTGTCTACAGTAACCAGTTTGGTTAATATATCTGCTGCATTTTCTGAAGTGTGGACCTTCAGCAATAATATCTGTCCACTAGCTACGAACTCTCTGATCTTGTGAAATCTCAAATCAATATGTTTGGTCCTAGCATGACACACCTGATTCTTTGTCAAGAAGATAACACGTTGACTATCACAATACAGCGAAACTCCACCTTGCTCAATGCCTGATTCATTTACCAGGAGCATAAGTCATGAGGTTTCCTTAGAAGCTTCATCAGCTGCCATGTACTTTACTTTAGTTGTGGACATAGCACAACAGACTGGAATAATGATCTCCACATAATTGGTTCATCTTCAAGGTTGAAGGAAAACCTGTAGTAGACCTTCTATCATTCAAGTCTCATGCATAGTACGAATCAACATAACCAACAACTGAATACTTACTCTATTGGCTGCCAAACATGATACATCAAGAAACCAATTGTACTGATATATGAAACTTTTGACATGTACTTATTCACTTCATCTGTCTTTAGACACTAATCTAGGGAATGCTTGAAGTGATTTTCCAATGGAGTGTGTGAGTACCCAATTTTGTCCGGCCCAGATTATCTTCCCAAAGTATAATATAAATAAATAAATAAAAACATAATATCAAAATGATTTGTTAAAGAAACTTAGTGTCCCAATTACACAAATTCAAAATTAGCTTTGTTACCTCTTTGGTTCTATTCTAGAATTAAAGACACCAATTAATGGTGCAATATTTGGCAATAAAAAACATCATGCATATCTGGTTATTGGTCATTCAATCAATAATTGATACTACACCAAGTTAATAGAGAACAATGCAATAACATCACTGCAAATCAATGCAATAATTCACATACAAAACATTTTGCTTCATTTGAGAAAGGATTTGCTATGAACATGCTTATTTCGGCCTAAGAAAGGACCAGATTCGGTCCCTAAAAGAAAACTAGAAATGTTGGATTTTCCCCATTTAGTTTCAGCCAACATATTAGTAGGAGGATCCTCTCATTATGGTGCATAAGTCTCCCCCTTTAGTGTAACACCCTAAATTTGAGTCTTTAAAATTATAGTATCAGTCCTGGAATCCTCGCTTGAGCAAGAGATTCTCGCTTGGGCGAGAAAAGCTCACCTGGGAGGGTGAAATCCTGGCTATACTGGAGGATTCTCGCCTGAGCGAGAGTTGTCTCGCCTAGGCGAGAAATGGCATTTTGGGACTGTTGATACTGTGAGATTCTCGCTTGAGCGAGAATCCCTCGCTTGAGCGAGAGGGTCAGATCTAAGTTTTTAAAAATAGGCGGGATTTTCTCGCTTGAGCGAGACAGGGCTCGCTAAAGCGAGAACCCGACGAGTTGTATTAAATGAGAAACCCCCAAACACAACCTAGGGTTTAGAAAATAAGAAGGGTGAAAGAAGATAGCTTTTTCAAGGACAAGAAGCTTGGATACTCATCTAAGAGCTTGAGAAGAGGTAAAAATCTTGATTCTAACTTTCTTCTTCTCTTTAAAACCTATTGTTGGTATGTTGGATCTCTTCTAAAAATGAAGGAAACCATGGAAACTCATCCTCTTGAGTTATGGTTCGTTTTATGTTGTTTCTCTCTTACAACTCTTGGTTTAGAGTTAGTATTTCAAGAATGGAGAGGGTTATGGGTTGATTCATGAAAACCCCAAAATCCTAAAGAGAAAATGTGGTTGAAATGGGTAAAATGCTAGAGGTAGGAGATGATTATGTATGTTTTGGATGGTTGTAAGCTTATGGTGAAAGTAGTTTAACAACATTGAAAATATGATGAAATATCTTGTATGGTTAAATAATGCAATATAAGTTGTTTATGTGATATTTGGAATAAATGACTAACATTGTGTTATATGGTGGGAATGATAAAAGATCCTAGAGTTGGCGGCGGTGTCGGTGGAACTTGTGAAGTTGCCAAGAACCAAACCCAACACTCACCGAGGTAAGGATAAGTCTTTAATTGTGCATTTGGAATAGAAAATGTGTATTTTCTGGTTATGCAATGATTGAGTTGTGAATTACGCATTTAGTATAAACATATATGGGTGTGTTTATACTAAAGTAGGCGTAGATTTATAGAAGATGGAAAATGTGTGTATTTTCTAAGTCATGCAATAATTATATTGTGAATCACGTATTTAGTATAAACATATATGGGTGTGTTTATACTAAAGATGGCGTGGATTTACGGGAAATGATTGATGGTGAATTCGATGAAAAGGAAATATATTTTTAGCCGACCATGAATAGTTAGCGACTCTAGCTTGAGTATATAAGCAAAAACTATGGCTTGAGTATATAAGCAAAAACTCTGGCTTGAGTATATAAGCGAAACTCTGGCTTGAGTATATAAGCAAAACTCTGGCTTGAGTATATAAGCAAAACTCTGGCTTGAGTATATAAGCAAAACTCTGGCTTGAGTATATAAGCAAAACTCCGACTCGAGTATATGTAGCATGTTTTCGTCTAAAAGAAATGAGAATTTGCTTTTAGCTAACCCCGATGGATGTAGCGACTTTGGCTCAAGTTATGCAGCAAAGTAAAATGAATTTCAAAAATGGTTTACTAACCTTTTCTAATGTGGATTATCTTATAATGATGTTTATTGAATTAACGATTTACTCCTTTGTATGTTTGTGTGCTTGTCATTGATAATCTCATTGCAGATAAACAGGTGACATGGGGGGACTCATTTTTGGGAGCTTAGGGAGCTTTATATTTTGGATTTATTCATTAGCACTATTTTGTATATGAGTGCATAGTTGATGGTTTAAAACATTATGTAATTGTGGATATATATATATATATATATATATATATATATTTATTAACATGAGGGTGTAACTCTGGATATGTGTAGCTATGGGTATTTTGGAAACTCATAGCTAGTTATATGCGGTGATTACTAATCTGCATTAATATGAATTATGTTTTTCTATCAAATGATTATGTACGTCATTATTGATTCATGCGTTGAGTGTGAGGAGGGAAATAAGGTTTTGAAGTAAGGATATTAAATTGGTAATGTGAGTTATGAGTGATTGCATGGAATTGAATTAAAATGAGAAAAAAATTTCAATGGTAGAATTTGGGTCCTTACATTTAGCCACAATTGCATACCTCATACAATCCCTAAAATGGAAAGAAAATCAAGTGAGAAATAGAGAGATTTACGCATATGGAGATAAACACAGTTAATAATAATCAATTCTAGGAAATAAAATTAGCCAGCCATAAAATGCATATTCAAATCATTTTGATTTCAATAATTAATAGTAAGTGAATAATAAACAACAATAATTAGCATTCGCATAGAGGAGTGGTCTCAAGAAGGAAATAATCTCAAAAGGGCAATCAAGGAGATAAAGGCAATCAGAGAAATTATAGGTACATCACACACTCATGCTCAAAGATATCTATAAAAGAGTAGTGTCTGAAGGAGTGAAAAGGAGGAAGAGATTGTTACACACATATTCAAACATAATCATTTCTCATACATAGAATCTCATACTCCCTTAAAACTTTCATAGTGTTTTCGGCATAACCTTTTCCCATCAACACACACAATACGCACATAATCTAGAATCTCATATTCCTTTAAACTTCATAGTGTTTTCGGCATAACTTTTTTTGCCTCCTACCCATATCACACAAAAATCTCATATCCTCTTCAAGGTTCACCGTGTCCCAACATAACCCTTTTTTCATCAACACATATCATATAAAACAAGCCAAATAGACCAAAGGTATTAATAATCAGAGGAGACTAAGAAAGGAGATTAGCGGCGTACAGGGAGAAGCATACCGAAGTGAGAGTAACTACAAGGTGTTACAAACTTCATACCAGGTAATGAGTCTATTCTCTTTTTATTCAAATTGTTTGTCTGTGTTCCATATAAATTCATGAAAGTCTTACATTATTATACAAAGAATATATATCTTAATACAAACATGTGCATCCATATTTAGCTAAGATTGAAGATGATTCATCACGGCAAGTTTAAATCGGTTTAGTCATGGTAAAATTAACGGATTTTCAATAATTAGATTTCAATCAATTCAGTAATACTTTCATCCAAACCGTAGTAAAAAAAGAGATAGTGTTCCTTACCTAACCCTTTGAACCATAATCTGTGATAAGCTTAGTCATCTTGCTTAGGAATCCAGGTAACCTTAACAACAATTGAAAGATAATTAATAAGAAATAAAACCAAAAGGAACAAATAAATGTAACAAATGGAAAAAGTAGAAGAAGAACAGAAAGGGGAAGTTAGGGATTTGGTTCCCTTTTGATGCACCGTGTTGGGATGAAGATTCACCACCATGGGAAGCGGTTTCGGTCAAGAGCCGCTGTGAATCTTTACCTTTCCCTGCCGGCGAGAACCCAAGCCGCCGCCGCTGCTGCCGTGGGTGAAAAGAGAAGGAAGACATTGGGGATTTTCACCCCTATCATATTGATCGTGTAAATGGGGGTAAGAGTATGTTACCCCTCTAATTAATTATCCCTTTTCCTTTTTTATTAGTTTTTATTTTACTTTTATACATATATGTTTTTTTTATATTAATATTTTTGTATATCATAAATTCCTATTTCATTTACATATCATATAATCCCAAACAAACATTAGTTAATTCATACCCATAATGTATTTGATCATATCTCTTTTTTTATAAAAAAAATTGAAATATACTTTAATTATTTTTTTTTTAAAAAAAATCTTTTTAAGATCTGATGCGGTGTCGGACGTTAGGGCTGCACTTCACTTTCTTAGAATTGATGGATAAATACATTAACATTTCTTAATAAATTTAAATATACTTCTTTTTTACACAAGGAGATGAATATCTTAACTAATTTTTAATGTGAGATGCGGTATCGGACATAAGAGCTGTACTTTACTCATTTTAATTAGTTAAGATTAAACATCACATTTTCTAAATAATAATAAAAATTAATTCAACCAACAAACCTTTGTCTACCTAAAGAACTACGTAGTCTTGATTCCCTATCTTTAGAGGGATACGTAGGAGCAAGATAACATCTTGTCAGACACAACAAAAAAATAAATAAAATCTTGCTTTATTAATAATTAATTAAATAACCAAATAACTTTAAAGTATAAATTAAGCCATGCAATTTATTGAGAGGTACCAATTAAAATGGGCGGATAGGGTGCTGATACCTTCCCTAGTCCGTAACCGACTCTTGAACCTGGATATCAAAATCCAAAGCCCAATGTAATTGGGCTAAAAGGTTTTTCTACATTTTTTACCATAAAATGTAGTGGCGACTCTATCAAAGTCGTGCTGCCGAAAATCGGGGCGCGACAGAGTGCTTACAACTTTAGCATTGCCCATATTATATCTCTCTAAGATCTTTTCAACATAGTTTTGTAAGGACAACCATAGTTTTCTAGCTCCCATATCCCCATGAATCTTCATCCCAAGAATCTACCTAACAGCTCCTAAATCTTTCATGTCAAACTCATTACCTAGCATGACTTTTAACTCATTGATATTACTCAAATGATTAGCATTAATCCACATATCATCAACATAATGTAGCATAAAAATAAAAAGAGTCATCATCAACGCTTCTCACATAAACACAACAATAATACTCACAGTGCTTGTAACCAAGTTTCAACATATAACTGTCAAACCGCTTGTACAACTGCTTATGAGGCTTATTCATCCCATATAGAGACTTCTTCAACTTACAAACCAAGTGACTCTGTCCAGCTATGGAGAAAGGCAATCTTAATATCCATTTGTTGTAAATGCATATCATTGCTGGCTACCAAGGCAATCACTACTTTGATATAAGTGTGTCTCACCACTAGGGAGAAAATATCATTGTAGTCGATCCCATTCTGTTGTGAATACCCTTTTGCTACAAGACGAACCTTGAAATTTTCCATGCCTTTTTCTGATATTGTTGGCTTCCTCTTGTACACTCACTTGCATCCAACTGAACACTTGTTTGGGGCAATGGGACAAGCTCCGAAGTTTGGTTCTTATGTAAGGACTCCATCTCCTCCATAATGGTACTCATCCATTGTTCTTTCTCCTTGCTGTTTATAGACTCATGAAAGCTGAGATTGCAAGTGAAGTCAACTAGTGCGATTGCAACATCCGTTTCTTGCCTATGTTTCGATGAAGACAAAGTCGACCTAAAAAGCTTGAAGACCTGACTCATCAACATTCAACATGTCTAAGACTCAAGACTCTAGGAAGGTATTTTATTTTCCCTTTTTAAGAAGTTCTAAGATGATTGTTTAGCCTTGAGTCTAGGTTAGGTAACCCAAATGATGATCGTCTCATTCGCTCGCAAGATTGCCAAAATACTTTTTGAGAGTCATCATTCTTCCTTTTTAGTAGGTTGCATCAAAAATTATATTTTCCATGAAAATCATGCATCATACTAAGTGCCTACTTATTTTGGAGGGTTACCTCTTATCCAAGAAAACTTGTAGTTTTTATGATAATTGATACTAATAGTAAAATAATCGATTATCTTACTGCACAGATCCGTTAATCGATTAAGAGTCTTTTTAATCGATTAATGAGAGTTCCAATAACCTCTGAATTTGGTTGCCTGGCAGTTTTAATCGATTATGTTATCTATTAATCGATTATGTACAACAGAAACATGTTAATTTTCAAACCGTTAATCGATTAAGATGTCATTTAATCGATTAACTTTGTTGAAAACATAAAACTATAAATTACCAGTTTTTTTGCACTTTTACGATAATTTTGATTTCACATTTTCTAAACTTTCATTTTCGAAATTCCAAATTCTCTATGAAGTATTCACCTTGTGCTTTAGTGTCAAATCCCTTGTGAGGAAAACCTATTTGGTTAAGAGTTTTCTTGGTTTCTTGTTTTAAAAAAGAAAGGGTTTTTCCAAACTTGTGCAAATTTGAGTGCACCAACCTGTTTTCAATCCTTCTTGATTCCTCATACCCCTGTGAGTGAGTCTGGGTCAATCATCATCTGGGTTGTTAGTGGCTTGTGTAAGCCAAGGAACTCTTCTTGAAGAGTTTCTTTCAAAAAGCTTGTTTCTTTGTAATAATGCTGTAAAATCTCTAAGGTTTAGAAAGAAAGTTGTAATATCGGCTAACTGGGGTTAGCTTGATATAGTCTTCGCTGAGTATCTTTTTGGCGCATCGAGTAACAAGATTGGCAACCGTTGTGAACGGAGGAAAGTGTCAAGTCTTTGAGAAATAGGATCTGGTTAGCAAGAAGGAAATGCTCAAATTGGAAGTGTGTGTAAAGAACATATTTTCAATTATAGTGAAGCAAATCTCCCAAGATCAGAAGGGGAGGCCTGGATGTAGTTTGTTGGTGGACAGGCGAACAAACCAGGATAAAATTTCTTGATCTTCTTTCTCTTTCCTTTATATTTTACATTTCAAGCATATTGCATATCTTGCCTTTTTAATTTGAAAGATTGAATCTTTATACATAAAGATTAAGTCTTTGATATTTTAATAATTGATGTGTGTTGTTTGTGATATCTTCTTAAGAAGTTGCATGATTCTTGTATAGCTTGCTACCTAAGAAACCATTGCATCAAGTTTCTGTTTTTGGTTTTTCTGCACTTTTTAATCGATTATGTTACTGTGTTAGTCGATTAATTATGTTTCTGTTAATCGATTTATTGCTGAATAAATCTGATATTTTTTATTCTCTCTGTGCAAATTCGAAAAGCAGACATATTGACCACTCACACCTATTCACCCCCTCTAGATGTTATACTCTGATTGATCGGTACCCTAACAATAGCTACATGGATCTCCTGAACTGATAAGGAGAGCAATTGAAGTCATATCCTCAAAGTCATATCTCTTTAGAAGTTTGATAGGACGTTTACCTCTATCTCTGTTAAGTAGATACCTTTGCCAACCTGAACTCTCCATTTGAAAATCATCATGTTCTTCACTTGAACTAGTGCATGGTTTCTTGCCTTTATTTACTTGAACCATTACATTGCTCACTGGAATCATATTTGATCCAAAACTCTCTCCATTTGGCATTGGCATTGGGATGGCAATGAAAACCGTACTTGTGAGTACCCCAGCTGAACTCAACCCGAATTTAATGAGAAAAACTCGATGTGATTGGTTCGGGTTCGTGTTTTACCCGAGTTCAACTGTTGGGTTCGGTATTGGTACAGTTGATACCTTACCCCGAACCAGACCGAACCCAATTTATATATGTTATCCGAAATTCGACCAGTTCGTAGATGATATCATTTTTTCAACCCCGCTTAATTTGGGTTCAGGATCGGGATCGAGTTTTAGATTTTGGGTTCGGGGTTCGGTAAGCAAAAATCTGACTCCGACCCGCCCCGTTTCCATTCCTACCTGGGCACCTCTTTCAAAACTGACTGTTTCAGTACGAAATCTTCATCAAACATTGCATCTCTACTCAACACTCTTTTTTGGAAAGTGGATCCCGGAACTTGAATCCCATCACACATTTGGTATATCCTATGAAAATACACCTCTTTGACTTGAGATCAAGTTTAGATCGTTCATCACTAGGTACATGTACTTAAGGAGGACAACCGAATGTGCCTAACATATTATAATTTATTGGGCTACTTGTCCATTCCTCTTCTGCAACTTTACCATCCAATGAAGCACGTAGTTATATACTGATGACATAGCATGCCATACTTAATGCCTCTCCCAAAAATCTTTTGGAAAGTCTAGCATTCAGTCTTAAACATATGGCCCTCTCTGTAAGAGTTGTATTCATCCTCTCTGCAACACCATTCTTATGAGGAGTCTTATTTACTAAAAAATGTCTCTAAATGTCATGTTCCTCACTTGTGAAACTGAGTCTTTGTACTCCATACCATTGTCTGACCTCAAATATTTGATTTTTGTATCAGTTCGGTTCACTACCTCTGTTTTCCAAACCTTGAACTTTGCAAAGACTTCAGACATATGCTAGTCTAGAATGCCCCGAGTTGTTCCTGAGTTGATCCCCATACATCAGTGTGGACATAGTCTAGAATGCCCCGAGTCCTGTGTTGGCCAACTTTGAAACTAACTCATGTATGTTTCCCAAGCATACAATACTTGCACAAATCTAGCTTGCATTTGATGACTCCCCTCAATAGTAATCTTTTCCATTGTTCTGTCATGCCACACACACTAATATAACCCTAACGCATGTACCATAATTTTGTAGCATCATGATTTGAATCTACTAAATTCTCTACAATCACTCCACCTACAACTGCACTCCCTAACAACTTGTAAGTGTTCCCAGCAGCCCTCTGACCCCTCATCACAATCAGATAACCTTTGCATACTCGAAGAGTATCACTATCCCCATCAGCTCTAACTAAATTCTTTGGCATGTAATGTCACCAAAGAAATCAAATTCATCTTCAAATCTCATAGGTGCCTAACCTCACATAATGTATTCACTACACCATCATCCATCACAATTATGATTTTTCCATGTCAATAATTGCACATGCTTTATCATTTCTGAGTTACATTGCCCGCCCTGAATGTGGTGAACCATTCTTTGTTTGGCATCATGTCGTGGGAACAACTAATGGCAAATATCCACTCATCTGCACTATGATTTGATGATACATATAGTATATCACCTTTACTGTTGTGAACAAAGTCATCTTTCTATGCAACATTTACAATTATAGATACTTTATCTTCCCAACTGGCTTGCTAGGACTCCATTCGTTGGGGCAATCCTTTTTGTAATGCCCTGTCTGTTTGCACTTAAAGCACTTTACATGTGTTCTGCCCCTGAAATTTCGTTTTTTTTCCTTTTGGCAACGCCTTTGATTGAGCTTGTTAAGCCAACACATCCTTAACATTTCTTTGCCACAATCCAAAATTACCATTTCCATTGAAATTCTCCACCTTGAATTTGGCACATGGGTTAAGAGCCATATGATACCAATTGTTGGGAACAAGCGAGCAATCAAATAGTAGGGTAGAATATGGATAAGAGAAAATAACACAAGGAATTTGGTAAAAAAGTTCGGTCAATTGTGCCTACATATACGAGAGCATTAAGAGACTACCACTATGTATTAGAGAATTAGAATTTATGTTTAGGTATTATTCTCCTTGTTACATTATGTTTACATAACAGAAATATATAGTCATTTACCTCAACCTATTTACATCAGCTCAAACTCATAATTTGTATTGTTGTTATATAGAGCATATGAGTCATTGCACTACAGTAAGACTATAGAGAACGAGTCTATATATAGTGCTTGACGGAAGCACTATAGTTATCATAAAAAGACTTGAAATATTGTCTCTATCGGCCATCAATTAGGGAATGACATAGAAATAATGGAAAGTACATAGAGGAGTTTTTCTATTGACGAATAACAACATATAACATTTATAGGAAGGCTGATCACCATGAATAAATGTTAGTAATCTACAACCATTCTTATTATGTGAAAATTATAAACTCTTCAAACTCATTTACACATGGTTTCCATGTTAAAACTTTAGTTCTCATGAAAATATATTTTTCTTTTCGAACTTCACATGTACGGACAAATTCGGATAAAAATTCATCTCATTGTAAATCTTTTTAGTACCATCCATGGCATCAGAAAATCAGTTTATGTACTCATCTTCAAAAATGAAATCTATCCTTTTACTTTTCAATAGCAATATCAATAACCATATCCTTGATTCTAAATTCTTGCTAACCAAACCCAATTACCTTTCACAATCATCTCAATTTTTTATATTTAAAATCGTATAATAAAGGTCCCTATAAGGCATGCCCTAAAAATATGGAACCCATTAAAAATCCTAAAACTTGGGGCCCACATGTTGCATTGTTGAACCGGCCGGGTCTATACCTTACATGTACCTGGGGCTTCCAATTTCTAGTAGTCCACAATGAGGTGTTGTTAATGTTGGTAATGTTAGTAAAAGGATCCACACACACCTAAAACAGGAGCAGAATAGGTATGAGCTTACTTCATCGCTTCAATTACCAAACAATGTCAAACAATATAACTTTCAAACAAACAATGATTTGAATTGAGTGATAATGATTTAAACAAAGATTGATACCAAATATGTTCACTTAATTGGTTAAAGTCGATTAAAGAGAGATTATGTCTACTGAATTGATTGGTAATTGATTAGTATTAATAGAATCAAGAGTGAAAGTTAAAACACAAAATTGATGATTATGGATGATGAAAAAATTAAACAATCTATTAGCACTACATATAAACAATTTATACCTGAGACCCCAGGCCCTCAAGGTTATGTTTATTGAGGTTGGAATCATCACAGTAGGAAGCACCGACAAGGAACGTGGAAACACTAGAGTGGACCACCTGTTGGTTGGTTAACTGATCCTCATACATGATATGGTATTGTTGAAAGTGAAAAATAGGACACTTAATCTGGGTGATGTATCTCTGGATCATGATAAATTCCATATTTGTGCAATGTGATCTCCATTTTTATCATCATGTCTATGTTAGAACAACACAGGTTTCCCTGCAGAGCATATAGAAAATTCCAAGTTCAGCAAACATAGTTAATAGGTGATGAATGATGATGCAGATAGCTGAACCTAGGAATATAGCTCAATAACTCCAAAATT